ATTATGAGCAGTTTGAATCTACCAGTCACTCCATGGGAGAAAGATGAGACTTTCTATTCTTGTAAAGATTTACAGCTTTAGAAACCCTATATAGGGTTGTTATGAGTTGAACCAACTCAATGGTACACAGCCACCACCACCATTAGTAAAATCCCTGATTGCCTTGAAGAGACTCGCCAATTCTGTTAAAGGTGCCAAAGGAAGTGAAATGAACTATAAAGACACTCTCTATTGTCTTAGAGGATACAAGTATCAGCAAAGGAATGTTACTTGAAATGTGGATGTTAAATGTGTTTCTGGTAGACTTTAAAAATATGCTTGAACAATGGAGAATGCACAGTTCATTTTATGCAATGGCAAAAAAATTTGTCTGAATTGTGTTTAAATGTTTGGTGGAAGGTAAAACTTATAATTGATGAACTCGGATATCTGACTTACAGGATTTCTAAGCAAGCCTTTAAGGGTTTTGGTGTAATGTTCCAGGATAATGTGCTGGACTATAAGGTCAGTTTGAACGGCAAGATTGGTGGTTCCCATCCACCAGCCACTCCTTGGAAATTCTATACGGGGTCACAACCGACTCGACAGCACTTACAACAACAACAAAAAGCAAGCTTTTAAGGGCTTCTCCTTGCCACTTATACTAAAATGCTAGAGGAAAGAGCTGAACTTAAAATGAAATATATGCAAAATGAATATAGAACTTAAAGATTTGGAAATTGTCTTGTCTTAAGCTGGGTTCTCTAGAGTAGCAAAACCAGTGAGATTGAGATGGAGAGATAGCTAGCTAGCTAGTTCCATTTATTTCAAAGAAACGGCCTAGACAGTTGTAGAGGCTAATAAGTCTCAAACCTGTGTGTCAGCTGTCAGGCTGGAGACTTCTTCTGACTCACATAGTATAGGAGCTGATGAGGCCACAACTGGCAGGTCACATTGCAGGCTGCTGGCGCATGGAGCTGTGATAGCTGGCGAATCCAAAATCTTCAGCTTAGGTGGAAGGCTGCTGGCTCATGTCCCAAGCAACTGTGATCACAGGATAAGTTTGATGCAGGATCAAGAGTGAACAAGGTTTGTCAGAACATTCATATATAGTGGATGCAGGCCACAGCCCCCAAGGAAACAAATTGGATTTCAACTGATCAGCTGTAAACAGATTGGCTTTCACCTGATTGGTTTTTCAACTTACTGCTCCTAGCAGATCACAAAATGGAGGATAATTACATTATATTGCATTGTAGAAGAGCAATCAATCTAATATCAAGAAATTAAACGTGGAACTGATGAATCTAACCAATGAACACAGCAGAAAACTTATAATCTTATAGTGAAGGGAACAGAGAGAGAAAAAAGGAGAATGTTTTCCTCTTAGAATTCTATAGGCAGAAAACAAACCAAAGGCACTACATCTTCTTTTCCAAGAGAAGAAAAGGACGATCTGTGGACCAGCTCAAATCTCAACAGAATGCTGGAAGGAACATGGGAAGCAGGGTCTAATGCTTATCCTACAGCACCACACCAGGGTGTAGGGTATATCTTGAGTCTGTCTCTTTTGAGATATATAAAGAGATTAAACAAGCAAGCAGTTTCAAAGGGTAAGTCCATGGTCTCTTGGATCTAAAGGGTAGGGCCATAGCCTTCTAGTTTTCAAAGAGACACCAACTTGATTCCAGGCTGTTCAGGTGTTCCCAGGGGATATGGCCACTGCCTAAAGTTAGGGATCAAGTACTGTGCCCAAGGGGCAGAAGAATGGGATCTGCTGGTTGCCTCTCAGATGAACAAGGAGAATGGGTCTGCCCAAAGCTGAGGGAACAGAATTGCTGTCTTAGTTGGCCTGGAGGGTAGAACTGAAGCTCAGGGTGCAGTAACTTCCACCCAGAATCCAGAGAGCCTGGTCAACATCTGGAGCACAGGAGATTGCCCAGACCTCAGAAAACAGCTGATTATTTTCTAGAGCTGAGTGCTAATGCAAATTGTTCTGCTGGGGTTGGATTGCTCTGGTGCCCATTATTTCTTCCTTCCCTCTAGTGTCTCCTATTTGTCATGGAAATGTCTACCTTGTACCAATTCCATCATTGTACTTTGGAAATAGATAACTAGCATTCTAGAGTTCCAAAGTTCATAAATGAAGAAAAATTTTCTCCAGAATGGACTATGCTTTAATTCCCACCCATATTTGATTTCCATCATTCAGAAGATGAGATTTTGGACATGGAGTTGATTGAAGACTTTTGAGATGATGTGATGGGGTGACTGTGTTTTGCATGTGGCAAGGACATGAATTTTGGGAGCCAGTGGGTGGAATGTTAATGGATTGAATTATGCCCTTCCCAAAAATGTATTGTAAATTCTGGCCTCTTGCTTGTGGTTATAATCCCATTTGGAAGTGGTATGTCTTTGCTATGGTTAATGGATAGGATTGTTGTTGTTAAGTGCCAGTTTTGACTCATAGTGACCCTGTATAAGATTCTGAGGAGCATCTGGTGGGTTTGAACCACTGACTCTGTGGTTAGCTGTCTAGTGCGTATCTTACAGCACCACATCAGGGTGTAGGGTATATCTTGAGTCTATCTCTTTCTTATTTTTTTAAAGATTTTTACTGTGACTTGAGTGAAAGTATACAGGGCAGATCATCAGTTTTACATTCAACAAATCATACACCTTGTTTCATTACAATGATTATAATCCCCTCTGGTAGTGTAGTGGTTACAAATCGGACTGCTATCTTCAAGGTCGGCAGTTCAAAACTACCAGTTGTTCAACCAGGAGAAAGATGAGGCTTTCTGCTCCTGTAAAGAATTGCAGCCTCGGAAACCTTGTGCAGGTTCACTATGAGTCAGAACTGACTCCACAGTACTTAACAACAACTACAACAATGTACCATCAGTTAACAGTATTTCTCTCTCTTCACTTTAGCTTTTTTTTTTTCAAATGTTTTATTGTGAATTATGTGATAGTTTACATGGGAGAACATTAGTTTTACATTCATCCTATTGTATATCATTTCTTTGCCATGGTTACAATCCCCTCCATGCATCATCAACCAACTAAAGGGCCTGCAAGGCTGCCCGCTAGTCGTCGGCACACAGCCCCTCTCCCTCTCTGGGTCTAAAGCCCCCAGCTTCTCCATCTCACCACGTCATCATCTCTGCCTCCATCTCTGGCGTCACTTCTTCTCTGGATAGGGTCCTATTCTTCTCTCTTCTCCCTTGATGGTCCCAAGGAACTCACTCCCCTCCTTGTTACAGAAACGTCTACCTTTACATTTTCAACCCTTACAATCAGTACTGATAATAATTATTCACTATTGTATCACAAGAGACCTATCCGCATTTCCTTTCATCAGTCCTGCCTAGACAGATTAGATATTACTCAGTGGAGATTCTACCTTCCTCCACGCCCTCTGGATCTAGGTTCCCTCTTGAAAGCATGTAAAGCCAGTCACTTTTTGCCTTTGTAGCCGCCTATTTTGGGTAGCCAATGTCCAAGTTGCCTATTCTTGTCTACTCTGTGTATCGAGGGGGTGGGAATGATCCTTGCTGTAAAGATTTGTTCCCTCTTTTGAGCTACTGCATCCATGGGCGTAGGTCAAGTTCATCAAATTGTATCAGATTACATTTTTCCTCTTCTTTCTTCTAGTTGAGCTCTGATCATCCAGTCATTGAAGCCAGGTCAAGTGGGTATTACTGTGTGGTGTTCTTGTGCATATGCCCTCTCTTCTTATCAACTTTAACTTTTAAAAACAAACAAACAGAAAACAAACACTCAGGTATATATAATAATTTATACCTCTAAAGGGCACATTCTGCAAGTCTGCCTCCTGGCCACCAGCTCTTAGGCCCTCTCTTCCCATGAATCTAGAGTCCTCAGCCGCTCCCTCTCTCCATGACCCCATCTCTGCCTCCTTCTCTGGCATCACTGCTTCTCTGGATAAGCTCCCGCCTTATGCTTGAGCTCTTCTCCGTTGATGTTCCTAGGGTCCTCTGTTTCTGGACTGTAAGATTAACCACTCCCCTGTTTTTGATACAAAACTTCTATCTTTACAATTGTGACAGTCACAATTAGTCATGTTAACAATTATTCACTGTTGAATCATATGAATCTTAATCCCAACTTTTTTCACCAGACCCATCTAGACAAGATAAAAACTATTCAGTGAGGACTCTTTCTTTTCCCCCACCACTTTTAAACTAAACTGCCTCATAAAACCTTGTAAGCCAGTCACTTAGTGCCTTTATTGCCCCCTCATTTTAGCAGCCAATGTCTAAGTTGCCTGTTCCTATCTACCCTGTGTACAGAAGAGGGATAGCATTGATACTTGATGTGAAGACTCCTTCCCCTCTCTGTTGGTATTTAGAGTCACTACCTCCATGAGTATGGGTCAGGTTCAACAAATTGTAGCAATTTACCTTGTTTCTTTTATATAAAAAAAATTTTTTTTTGGTCATCATCCTATAGTCGAGTTCTGATTATCAAGCCATCGAACCTAGATCAAATATGTACTGTTTGCAAGTTTGGATGTTCTTGTGCATCTCCCCTCACTTCATATCAGCTGGATACTTCACTCTCAGCTCTAGCCCTCTGTGGTTATGTCCTTGATAATGGGCTTAAGTGTCCCCTTATTACTTCTTTATTTTGGGATTCCGAGTGTGTAGACTTGTAGTCCTGTTGTGGCTCTGTGGGACAAAGCACTAGACTGCAAGGTCGGTTTGAACCATAAGTTCAGTGATTCAGACTCACCAGCCGCTCCCTGGATATGCTGTACAGGGTTGCTATGAGTTGGAACTGACTTGATGGCACTTAACAACAGCAGTGTGTAGCCTTATACCTGGTGGTACATGGGCTGTAGTGTCTGTTTGTGGCTTCAAATATTTTATTTAAAAATATGCAACAGAATTTAAGAGTAGATATAAAATTATATGAATAATGATTAAATATGTATTTATGTTTTAGAATTATATATGAAAAGACTGTGATATGAGGGGGTCTTTGAAAATTTCAAGGAAAATGTGTGTTATAAAATAAGTATGCATGGATTTCCATTTTTATTTTTTATGCTGAAGTAAATTCAACCTGACTTGTTGTAACATGTCTGAGCAAAATCTCGTTTGAGGCACTAAGATGGACAAGACATTAGTATGAAAAGAGCCCCTATCAGAGCAATATGAATTCTGCTATAATCGAGGCAAGAACAAATGTCAAATTTGTGGTGAAGCTTGAGTGGATGAATGGTAAAATCATTGATGTTTTATGAAAGGTTTATGGGAACAATGTCCCAAAGAAATCAGTAGTTTACAAATGGATACCTTGATTTAAAAACAGAGTACGTGATGTTGAGGGACTCCTGGTGTGGCACTGAACTGTGAACCACAAGGTCGGCAGTTGAAACCCACCAGCTGCTCCTTGGAAACCTTATACAGGTTTGCTATGAGTGGGAACCCACTTGACTGCACTTAATAAGAACAACAAGAAAATTTTTAGCAAGTTAAAACTTAAAAAGTTGGTGGGTGAAAACAAAATGTGTTATATACAGTTTCATTATGAATCCAAACTGACTCCACACCCAAAACAACAAAACAATGTTGCAGGTGAAGCTTGTAGGGGCAGACCATTCACATCAATTTGTGATGAAACCTTTAATGATTCATGCTGTTGCTGAAGAGGATCTACCTTTTTTTTTTTCTCCCAACTCCTCATTGTGAAATGAATGAAGGACCACTGACAAGACTATCAAGTACACACTCAGCAAACCACACGCCTTGCTTCATCTCAGTGATCACAGTCTCCTCAGATGAACAATGAAGATAGGGAAAGATTAGGGAGGTATGCCTAAATGGGATAGAGGGAAATGATGACTTATTCACAACCTTGGAAAAACAGTGTTCTGTGATACAGATATCGAGTGTAAAGGAGGGGACAAAAATGTTTAGGATCTTGACTGTCTTGTGGATATTGTTTTCCCCTGCCTACTATTGTAAAATAGACATTTATATGTGATAGAAATGAATATTGGGAATTTTAATTACAGAAAGCTTGTAAGCCCATCTTCAGCCTATAACGGATTCAATTTGCTAAAAAGGAAATGAGAATTTGCTCAGGGAAATAGACTTCTTGTTAGGCCTTTGTAGAATTGAAGTCCTGGTGTGATGTTGTAGGAGTGAGGTTGTTTGGACTGCAAGGTCGGCAGTTCAAACACCAGCCGCTCCTTGGAAACCCTATACAAGACTCAATGGCACTTAAGAGCTGGGGCCTTAGATGGAATCCTGAGCCCTACCCATTACCTCTTTTTGCTTTTTTTCCCCATTCCTTCTTGAAGAGACACTCAGACCAATCCAGAGCTGCTGGGAGAACAGAAAATTCTTATTGAAAGAAAGACCTACAGAAAGAAAACAGACTGTTAGGTGGTTTGAAAATCAAACAAGCTGTTTGCTTTTGGAGGCAACAAGGCAAGAAAAGTCAGCCCATCAGGGGAAACCCCCTTTTAGGACTGAAACTCAGAGGAAACCTGTGAATAGTCTAGTAGGCTCTCTGGTGACCATTGATTAAAGCATGGTCAAGAGTGGAATTTTAATACACACGTTAAAAAGTAAACAAAAGAGAACAACAACAAAAAAACCCCAACTAGTTTGTCAGAGTAGAACTGTGTTCCACAGGGTTTTCACAGGCTGACTTTTCAGAAATAGATCATTGAGCTTTTCTTCTACAGTGCTCACAGAGCCCACCTTCTTATCATCAGCTGACCATGCTAACTGTATGTCCCAGGGATTCCATATATATGTCATAAACGAAAACAACAACAAATACTATTGCAAATGCTATGAATATTGCTAGGCTCTTTAGGAATTAGTATCTTAATGCATATAAATCACTTGCTTTTTAATTATAGTTGAAACTTTTAAAGTCTTTTTTTTTATTACTTCACTTGGAACAGTAATTTAAATGATGTAGAAACCTTCCCAGATAAAAATTGTTTTGAAAAGTATGCAGAGCTACTACTGAAGGTTTTAACAAAAAGTATTTCGCAACATGGCAAGTAATAAAGAGAACTGAAATTAGAGAGGGACTTTTCAGTGATTTAGTGTGTTCACAGTTATAAATGTGAGTTATGTTTAAATGTAAATCATGTTATATCATGGATTGTCACGAATTACCTAGTTTAACTTTAATCAGCCAAAAAGCTGAGCTCTGCACAGTTAGATGATGTGCTGAATTTCTAAGTAGAGTTAATAATCCTGTCCAGATTCCAGGTCTGCTTATGTACAACAGTTTAGAAGAAGTGCCGAAATAGTCTTAAAATGACAGGATGTCAGGAGATGATAAGGCGTATGTTTATGGTGGCATTTGAAAATAAATGATTTAGTTCCTATAAATTCTGTTGGCTCATTACTTGCCATTATTTTATGGGAAACATAGAAAATTACCATCTTTGTGCTTATTGAGAAGGTCATGCAGTTCTTTGTGAAAGAATGATTTCTGGTGAAGTATGAGGTTGAACTATGCTTTTTGAGCTTCACAGACCTCACACAAATATAATAAAAGTTATTTAACAGACCCTAAAGTCATGTTATTGAGAAAAGTGCTCCAAGATTTCAGCTTGCAGGAGGGCACAAATGGTGAAGAGATAATTTAGCGGTAGCTTGGGAAAGTTACTAATCGAAGGATTGGAACCAGCTGTGAGAACTAGATAGGAAATTGTTTCTCCTTCCTGCAGTATTTCAGTCATGTAACTTATAATTTGGAGGTCAATTTTAAACATTTGCTGAATGATTTGTTTTGAACCTTAACTAAAGTTTATTAGAACATTTAGAAATATGTTTTCAGGGTTAATGCTGCGTACCATTTTAATATTTTGCATTTAGCACTTGCCAGCTTTTGTGGAAAAAAGCAACCAAAACATACATTTGTTGAACTTTTGAGTTTGTGGTGGTGGTGGTGGTGGTCGTAGTGTGCTGTGGCATCAGTTCCAACTTATAACGACCCTGCATAGGGTTTCCAAGGCTGTAACTGTTCACAGGAGCAGAAAGCCTCATCTTTCTCCTGTGGAGCAGCTGGTGGTTTCAAACTGCTTACCTTGAGGTTCGCATCCTGCTCGTTTGTAGCCACTACGCTACCAGGGCTGCTTTTTGAGCTTGCAGTACAAAGAATTCATTAAAATTTCTAACTTCAGCACTTTAAAAGTGGTGGCTATTTGATGTGCATTTCACCTTTTTGTGCCCATAACACAAAACCTGATTTCTGCTTGTGATTTCAAAGGTATTCAAGAAGCTTTACTGAGTAGCATATCTATTTTAGGATTGTTTTGAGAATTAAATTAGCTGATTCATTTAAAGAGTTCAACAAATTGCCAGATGCATAGCATTTTGTTTTTATATAGTCAGATATATCAGTTATTTCATTTGTGAAATTGACGTTTTATATTTTGCTTAGTTTTTTTCACACCAGGATCATAAAAATGATGTTTTCTTTTAATACAGTTCTAATTTTTTTAATTTTAATTTTTGTTATGTCTAGATGTGTTTTTCTGTAAGTATGTTTTTGCATTCCTTTACCATACTTATTCAATCGTATGCTGAACAAATAATCAGTAAAACTTGATTATATGAAGAAAAACATGGCATCAGGATTGGAGGAAGACTGATCAATAACCTGCAATATGCAGATGATACAACCTTGCTTACTGAATATGAAGAGAATTTAAAATACTTATGATGAAGATCAAAGACTATATTCTTCGATATGGGTTATATCTTAATGTAAAGAAAACAAAAATTCTCACCACTGGCCCAAAACATCCATATAAATGGAGAAAAGATTAAAGTTGTCAAAGATCCCATTTTGCTTGGGTCAACCATCAACACTCATGGAAGCAGCAGACAAGAAATCAAACAATGAATTGCATTAGGCAAATCTGCTACACAAGACCTCTTTAAAGTGCTCAACAGCAACAATGTCAGCTTGAGGACTAGAGTGCACCTGACCCAAGCCATGGTATTTTCAGTAACCTCATATGCATGGGAAAGCTGGACAGTGAATAAGGAAGACCGTAGAAGAATTGATGCTTTTGAGTTAAGGTGTTGGAGGAGAACATTGAAAGTAACATGGGTTGCCAAAAGAACCAATAGATCTATGTTGAAAGAAGTATAGCCAGAGTGCTCCTTGGAAGCCAGGATGGCCTGACTTCGTCTTTTGTACTTCGGACATTTTGTCAGAAGGGACCAGTCATCAGAGAAGTGGAGGGTTGGAGAAAATGAGGAAGACCCCAATCAGACGGATTGGCACAGTGGGCCCAAGCATAACAACAATGCTATGAGGTTGGACCAGGAATGAGTAGTGTTTTGTTCTGTTGTGCTTAGGGTCACTATGAGTCAGAACCGACTTGATGGCACCTAACAACAACAAGAACAACAATAATTCCTTATTTTTGCCTAATCGCCTATCACTGCTACACAGTGCCACATAGCAGTGGTAATAGAAGGCATCCTTATCTGTTTTCTGCTTTTAATGACAATTCTTCTAAATATTTTCATTATTTGGCATTTTGAGTTCAGAAATAAATATTTATGATAATTTACAAATTTTCATCTATTTTTATTTTACTTATATTTTTGTTAGTGATATATAACTGTGCTTTTCTTAAAAGGCTTTTTAGGACATAGATTAAGATGATTATAGAGTTTGTCTTCCTACTGTTGTTGTTGTTAGGTGCCATCGAGTTGGTACCGACTCATAGTGACCTCTTATGCACAGCAGAACGAAACACTGCCCGATCCTTGAGTCCATTGATGCTGCCTCTTGGCCAATCCATCTCGTTGGGGGTCTTCTTTTTCTCTGACCCTCCACTCTACCAAACATGATATCCTTCTCCAGCGACTGGTCCCTCTTGACAATATGTCCGAAGTATGAGAGACGAAGTTTGGCCATCCTGGCCTCCAAGGGGCACTCTGGCTGCACTTCTTCCAACACAGATTTGTAATGCGTCTTCCTTCTAGATGGATTATATTTATAGATTTCCTAAAATAGAAACATTCTTATATTCATTGGATTAACCCCACTTTATATTCTAGTGCTACTTTTCAGTAGCACATTGCTAAATTTTATGTTCTAGTAATTTTATTTCCCCTCAGACTTGTCTGTTATTCTTAAGTAAACTTAGTTTGTAGTTTTATTTTCTTAAATGCTGATTTTTGATAGATTAATAGTTTTTATTTATGAAAACGTTTTTTGTTCTTCTCCTCTTTCTCTTATGATCTGGAAGTATGTATTTTGCCTAAGTATTATCTAGTCCTTGAAGGTTAGGCACAATTCTCCTGGGACTGTTTTGACCTGATATTTTTATAGAAAGTAGGTCTATAACCAGAGTCTTGATGTGGTGTTGTAGAGTAAGCACTGGACTTCTAACCACAGTGTTGATGGTTCAAACTCATCACTTGCTCCTTGGAAACCTTATATAGGGTTGTTATGAGTCAGAACCAACTTAACCACATGTAATAACAGGTTTATATAACCACTCTTCCATGTACTTTATGGTAATTATTTTTTTCAGATTTGTTGTTATTTCTGGAACCAATTTCAGTAATTTGTATTTTCCCAAATTTTTATGTGTGTGGTGACTTTAACACCTGTCTGCCGATTCTTTCACAATCCTCTATCAAAAAGTGGAATCTCATTCTCTTTCACTTAAACGTAGTACTGCTAGTACCTAAAGGAGCCCCATGACTTTTAAGACTAGATTAGGAAAGGTGATGTAGTTTATTTATGTCTGTCCTTCTTGGGACACTCAGTCGCCATGCTGTGAAGAAGGTTCTCAAGGCATACTGTAGTCAGGTGGTGCAGAAAGTGTTGTGGATATTGATCATTCTTAAAACTGTTACAAGGAAAAGATGGATGTTGTGCTAAGTGAATACAGAGGACCAGCCTGGCTAAGACCACCAACAAGAGAGAACATGGGAGGACCTCAACCATTCCGAAGGCACAAGAAATGTGCGTAGGCTTGCATCCAATAAGGTATCCATAACTTCCTGACTGCTTGGGTTAGTCCTCACTTATGTTTGCTGTCCCAGCCCAATTCTATATATATGGAGTCCTGGTATGGTGCTGTGGATTAATGCGTTGGACTGCAAGGTGACTTTGAACTGCAAGGTGGGTTTGAACTACAAGATGGGTTTGAACTGCAAGGTTGGTGGTTCAAGGTCACCAGCTGCTCCTTGAAAACCTTATATAGGGTCCCTGTGGGTCGGAACCAACTCTACGGCACTTAACAACAACAATATATATACATTTACATATATATGGAGTCCTGGTGTGGTGCTTTGGGATGGTAGTGTAGTGGTTACGAATCGGGCTGCGAACCTTAAGGTCAGCGGTTCGAAACTACCAGCTGCTCCGCGGGAGAAAGATGAGGCTTTCTACTCCCGTAAAGATTTACACCCTCGGAAACCCTATACAGGGTCGCTATGGGTCGGAACCGACTCGATGGCACATAACAACAACAACAACAACTGGATCACAAGTTAGGTTTGAACCACAGAGTCAGGGGTTCAAACCCACCAGGCACTTCTTGAAATCCCTGTACTTTTGTTAAAGTGCTTTTGATCAGTTGAGATTCATAGTGACCCTTTATAGAGTTTCTGAGGAACAGCTGGTGGATTTGAACTTCTGACCTTATGGTTAGCTGTCCAGTCCTACAACGCCACACCAGGACTCCTATATATAGATGTGTGTATCTATCTAATTATATGTATCTGTATATATATAACTTTTTATTGTGAGTTTTGTGAAAGTTTGTAGAGTACATCGTAAGTTTTACATTCAACAGATCACACCCTTCATTTCCCGTTAGTGATTGTAGTACCCTCAGTGTAACATCACTTCTCCCACTTCCTCCCGCTGTTTCATGTTTCCATTCCTCCTCCTTTCCCAACCCTTCTGAATTTTACCTTTTGGCGAATACTGCTCTTTTTTTTTTTTTTTTTTTTAATCTCAAATGGTTGACTATTCTATGTTGTGTTTACTTCACTAGTGTTGTTGGACCCCTTATATAGCTATATGTTGTTTGGCTGAAAATTGACCCATTCGGGTGAGTTCAGTTCCAGAGCTGAGGAGCGACTAAGCCGTAGTCTCTGGGTTCCACCACACTCTATCTGATCAGGAAGCTGATCTTTTTATGGTTTTGAGTTTTGCTCCACATTTTTCTCTCACTCTACCAGGACCTTCTGCTGTGATCCCTTTCAGATTAGTTGGTAGTTATAGTCAGGCACCATCTAATTCTTTGAGACTCAGGGTTGTGGATTCCATTAGACTTGTTTCCAGTGTCTTCAATTTTCATCACTCTTTTTTTCCTCTGGACAGGGAGAGACTAATAGTTGTGCCTTAGATGGCCACTCATGAGCTTTTAAGATTTCAGTTGCTACTCACCAAAGTAGGATGTAGAATGTTGCTTTTGTGGACTGTTATGTCATTAACATGAGGACCAGACTTTAGATATCATTAGTCCGAATCACCTGGAGTCTTGTTGTGGCACTGTGATTTAATGCTCTAAGGACTGCAAGGTCTGTTTGAATTGCAAGGTTGGCTGTTCAAACTCACCAGCCACTCCTCGGAAATCTTATACAGGGTTGCTGTGAGTCAGAACTGACTTGACAGCACTTAACAACAACAACATGCCATTGGCAACGCTGTACCCCCCAAAGTATGGCCATGACACCCCAGGTCCAGCAACTCATTCCCTCATGGTGTTTTGGTAATGTCTAAGAAGTTTTCTTTTTTTGCCACCTTTTAACAAGCCCCCAGGAACTGATGGAATAAATATTGAAATCTTTCAAGAAAGTGAGGTGGCACAGGAGGCACTCACTCATCTCTGCCAAGAAATTTGGAAGACAACTATCTGGCTGACTGATTGGAGGAGATCCATGTTTGTGCCCATTCCAAAGAGAGGTGACCCAATGGAATGTGGAAATAATCGGAAAATATCTTTGATATCCCATGTGAGTAAAGTTTTACTAAAGGCAATACAGAAATGGCTACAAGCATACATTGACAGCGAACTTCTAGAGGTTCAAGGTGGATTCAGAAGAGGCTGTGGAATGAGGGATATCATTGCTGATATCTGATGGATCTCGGGTGAAAGCAGAGAATATCAGAAAGATGTTTACCTGTGCTTTATTGACTACGCAAAGGCATTTGATTGTGTGTATTCTGGAACACTTAATTGTGCTCATGTGGAATCTGTACGTGGACCAAGAGGCCGTTGTTTGAACAGAACATGGGAACACTGAATGGTTTAAAATTAAGAGAGATGTGTGACAGGGTTGTATTCTTTCACCATACTTATTCAATCTGTATGCTGAGCAGATAATCTGAGAAGCTGGGTTATATTAAGAAGAATGTGGCATCAGGATTGAAGGAAGACTCATTAACAACCTGCGATATGCAGATGATACAACCTTGCTTGCTGAATGTGAAGACGACTTAAAATATTTACTGATGAAAATCAAGGAGCACAGTCTTCGATGTAGGTTGCATCTCAATGTCAAGAAAACAAAAATCTTCACCACTGGACCAATAAACAACATTCTTATCAATGGAGAAAAGATTGAATTTGTCAAGGACTTCATTCTTCTTGGATCAACTATTAACACTCACCAAAGCAGGAGTCAAGAGATCAAACAACGTATTGCATTAGGCAATCTGCTGCACAAGACCTTTTTAAAGTGTTGAAGAGCAAAGATGTCAACTTGAGGACTAAGATGCACATGACTCAAGCCATGGTGTTTTCAATAACCTCATGTGCATGCGAAAGCTGGACAGTGAATAAGGAAGACCGTAGAACAATTGATGCTTTTGACTTATGGTGTTGAGGGAGAATATTGAAAGTGCCATGGGCTGCCAAAAGAACCAACAGATCTGTGTTGGAAGAAGTGGAACCAGAGTGCCCTTGGAGGCCAGGATGGCCAAACTTTGTCTCTCATACTTCAGGCATATTGTCAGGAGGAACCAGTCACTGGAGAAGGATATCATGTTTGGTAAGGTGGAGGGTCAGAGAAAAAGCTGAAGACCCCCAATGAGATGGATTAGCAAAGTAGAAGCATCAATGGGCTCAAGCATGGCAACAGTAGTGAGGTTGGCCCAGGATCGGGCATGTTTACTTCTGTTGTGCATAGGGTTGTATGAGTTGGTACTGACTCGATGGCACCTAACAAGAACAACGACGACAGCATAATTATTAAGAGCACCCTAATTCATGCACGAAAGGGATATAATTTGACCCGTAAGTTGTATAATCATCCAGAGGATTGCTGGAGTACAGGATGCTTAGCAGAAAGCATCAGTAGAGGATGAGAAAAGGCAGGGAGTGAGTCCAGCCCATCACTGAGTATGTGCCTTTTCCTGTAGGTAACAGGGAACCAGATTCCTTCTAAGCAAGTCAGTCAAAGGCAGGTTTGCAGTTTAGAAATACGGCTTAGTGGTGCCACAGAGGATTTTCTGGAGGGTGAGACTTAATGAGTTTATTATTTCAAAATGCTGAATTCTTGTTCCATTTAGAATAATATCTAAACTGCTATATTAACTATTTTAGGAATAGAGATGCTTACCCCGTATTACTCATGCCAGAACGGTTTTTGAATGGATTTTCTCTCTTTATATGAGTCAAGAAATTGGTTTCATGTGACTTGATATTTTCCTTACAGCTTACAAAAGCCTTCAAATCATCAAAAGCAAGCAAGATGCACACTACTGCTAAATATAGCACAGAATAGATATGTCAATCTGAAAATAGTTTTTCCTAATATAATTTTTCTTCCAAAATACGCTGTGTAAAATCACTGGAATTAAGCCATGATAGTAACCAAATCAGCTTAAAAGACATGCCCGAATAAAAACCAATATTGCTGGTGACCTCGTTGGTCACCGATAAAGGGGAAGTTGGGGAAAAACAGCAGTGAAGATGTGACCCGAGTCAGACCATGTTCAATAGTCTCCTGTCAACCCTGGTGCAGACCTGATTGGCCAGCAGTATGGCAAGACCTTGGGACTCCTGGGCTGGAGGCTGTGACATAGCCATAGAGGTCTAGCATGGAGAGTGAAGTGTCCCAGCTCATAAGAAGTGAGGGGAGATGCACAAGAACACTCATACTTGCAGATAAAACCCACTTGACTGGCTTCAATAGCTGGATGATCAGAACTTGACTAGAAGAAGAAAGAAGAGGAAAAAAAAAAAGTAATCGTATACAATTTGATGAACTTGACCTACACCTATGGATGCAGTAGCTCAAAAGAGGGAACAAATCTTTACAGTGAGGATCATTCCCACCCCCTCGGTACACAGGGTAGGCAGGGATGGGCTACTTTGACATTGGCTACCCAAAATGGGGATGGGGGGCTACAAAGGCAAGAATTGATTGGCTTACAAGCTTTCAAGAGGGAGCCTAGATCCAGAGGGTGCGGAGGAAGGATAGACTCTCCACTGAGTAGTATCCAGTCTGTCTGAGTGGGGCTGATGAAAGGAGATGGGGATAGGACTGTTGTGATACAATAGTGACTATTTGCTATCAGGACTGGCTGTGAGGTTGGAAATGTAAAGGTAGATGTTGTGTGGCACAAGGAGGGGAGTAGTTGACTTTGTAGTCCAGGAGTGGAGATCCCTGGGACCATCAAGGGAGAAGAGCAGAATGCGGGACCCTACCCAGAGAAACAGTGATGCCAGAGATGGAGGCAGAGATGATGACGTGAAGAGATGGAGTGAGTCTGTGTTCTGATGACCAGGAGACAGGCTTGCATGATATACCCTTTGGTTGATGATGCTTGGAGAGGATTGTAATCATGTCAGTGAAACAATATACGATAGGATGAATGTAAAGCTAATGTTCTCCCATGTAAACTTATCACATAATTCACAATAAAAACTTAAAAAAAAAAATCATTTGAATTAAGCTAGGATAGTAACCAAATCAGCTTAAAAGAGATACCGAATAAAAACCAGTCTTCTGGGGATTCTAATACTCTAGGAGTATTAATTTTTAAATTTCATGTCAAATGTCATGGCTTCAACCAGTACTTTTAAATTCTGAGAACAGATCTATCTAGGAGCCTATGTAAACATATAAAGTATTACTGTGTGCTGTTTAGGCAATTCCAAGAATTGCTAACCATACAGAGGAGTTTGCAAGAACATTTTCTTAACTCCAAAAACAGCAAGAAGCAGTACACTTATAAATAGATAAGTGTTTGATGCATTAATTCTATTTAAGAAGCAGCAAATTAAATTATTTTAATCAATTTATAATTCTGTTATAAAAAAAAGCAATGAGGATTGCCAATGCAATTATGGCAGTAAAAAAAAATCATGCTATGTTTAAATAACTACCATTTTGGGTCTAGTTCTCCTCTCAGATATGTAGCCAAAAATTGCTAAAAACAAATAAAATTTTCTTTTCATTTCAAATACCAGTATATCCAAATATAAGCTCCATACGGATTTTCTCAGGGAAAAATTTTTGGCATGAATATATGCTTTTTTAATCGATAAATGTTGACAGTATAGCGCTCAGGGCATTACACATAATTTACTAAGTGAGTTAAACATGTTGATAAACCTTAAAATCTAAAGCAGAATCCATTTCTCAGTGCGTCTGGCATTTAAAATGCTTTAATTACTTCTAAGATATCTTTTTCAAAGTATGTGCATGGTCATTCAAATGCTTTTTTTCCTTTTCTTTCTTTTATTAACTTTGTATTGTGATTTGGTTGAAAGTTTCAGAGCAAGTTGGTTTTCCATTCAACAATTCATACACATTTTGATTCAAGACATTGATTGCAATCCTCACAATGTAACAGCAGTCTTCCCATTTCATCTTGTGTTTACCATTTCCATTCATCCCTCTTTTCTATCCTTTTTTGCCTTCTAAGGTTTATCCCTAGGCAGATAATACCCTTTTGATTTCTTATGGTTGATTGTTCTAAGGTGTGTGTACCTTCTTGGTGTTAATTTTTTCCTTATAGACCTGTGTGTTGTTTGGCTGAAATTGGAGTCCTGAGGGTGAGTTCAGTTCCAGCCCTGAAGGGGTGAGTAAGGGCTATTGTCTCTCCATTTCCATTAGTCTCTAACCAACCTGTAGCTCTGGCCTTTTTCTTTTTCTTTATAAACTTCACTTTTGTTCTGCATTTTTCTCCTACTCTATCCAGTACCTCCTGTTGTGATCCCTTTTAGAGCAGTTGTAACCGGAAGCCATCTATTCCTTCTGGTCTTGTTGTAGTTGTTACATGCCATCGAGTTGGTACCGACTCATAGCGACCCTATGCACAACAGAACAACATTCTTATTAGTGGAGAAAACAGTGAAGTTGTCAAGGACTTCATTCTTCTTGGAAACAGCAGTCAAGAAATCAAATGATATATTGCATTAGGCAAATCTGCTGCACAAGACCCTTTTCAAGGGTTGAAGAGCAAAAATGTCAGATTGAAGTCTAAGGTGTACCTGACCCCAGCCATGTTATTTTCAATATGCATATGAAAGCTGGACAGTGAATAAGGAAGAATGTAGAAGAATTGATGCATTTGATTTATGGTATTGGAGAGGAATTTTGAAAGTGGCATAGGCTGCCAAAAGAACCAACAGATCTGTGTTGGAAGAAGTGCAGCCAGAGTGCTCCTTGAAGGCCAGGATTGGCAAACTTTGTCTCTCATACTTTGGACATATTGTCAGGAGGGA